TTATTGCCCACCCCACCACGATGTCATTATTTGGTGGCCTATAGACCACACCTATCAGTGACTTCTTCTCCCTGCTATTCCTAATTTCCACCCAAATGGATTCAACGTTTTGTTCAGTAGAACCTATATCATCTCTCACTACCGCCCTGATATCATCCTTAAAAATCAGAGCAACACCACCTCCCTTACCTTCCTGTCTGTCCTTCTGAACAGTTTGATACCCCTGGATATTTAACTCCCAGTCATGACCATCCTGTAACCATGTCTCTGTAATGGCCACTAAATCATACCCATTTGCCATGATTTGCACCGTCAACTCATCCACCTTGTTTCGAATGCTCCGAGCATTCAGATGAAGTGCCCTTATGCCAGTTTTTTGCACCTTCTTTTTGGGTCCTATTCCCTCCATTACTAACAGCTCTTGAGTTCTCCTTCCCTTTAACTTTTTTTCCTGATTTTCCATGGAGTTGAAGCTTCCTCGTCACCTGCTAACCTGCTGCTTTGCCTTACATTAATTGTTATTCTCCCTCTACGCTCACTTCTCCCTTCCCCCCTAATTACTAGTTTAAAGTCCTATTAACCACCCTGTTAACCCTTTTCGCCAGAACACTGGACCTGGCCCTGTTCAGGTGGAGTCCATCCCAGCGGTATAGATCCCTCCTGTCCCAGAATTGATGCCAGTGCCCCATGAAAAGGAAACCCTCTTTCCCACACCACTCTTTTAGCCACGTGTTTACTTCCCTGATCCTCGCCTCCCTATGCCAATTTGCACGTGGCTCGGGGAGCAATCCAGAGATTATGACCCTTGAAGACCTGTTTTTTTTAAAATTTTGTTCCTAGCTTTTCATAATCCCGAAACAGGTCTCTTTTCCTAGTCCTGCCTATGTTGTTGGTACCTACATGGACCACAATAACTGGATCCTCCCCCTCCCTCTCTAGTATCCTCTCAAGCCAGTCAGAGATGTCTCGCACCCGGGCAGGCAACACACCATGCGGGATTCTCCATCCTGCTCGCAAAGAATACTGTCTATCCCCCTGATGATGGAATCCCCTACAACTACAATCTGTCTTTTTGCTCCCCCCTCTTGAATGGCCTCCTGGACCATGGTGCCATGGTCAGTTGACTCATCCTTCCTGCAGCCCTGTTCCTCATCCACGCAGGGAGCAAGTGCCTCATACCTGTGGGACAATGTAAAGGGCTGCGGCTCCTGTGTTCCTGTCTGCAGGGTCCCTCTACCTGCCTCACTTGCAGTCACACACTGCTGTCCCTGCCCGACGATCGAATTAACATTAGTTAATCTACCAGGTGTGACTGCCTCCTGGAACACAGCATCCAGGTATTTCTCCCCCTCCCAGATGTGCCGCAGTGTTTGGAGTTCGGATTCCAGCTCATCAATTTTGAGCCAGAGCTCCTCAAGCAGCCAACACTTGCTGCAGATGTGGTCGCTGCCGTTCTCAATGGGATCAGCTAGCTCCGACATCATACAGCTACAACACATCACCTGGCCTGCCATCTCATCTTAGTTAATTATTCAAAATTAGTTTTTTTTTAAGTTTCGCAATGTTCGCTGCATCAGTAATTTTACTCCGTTATATACTCAAACAGACTCCGGCTTTGCCTTCCGACCCGCTCCCAGAGGATTTGGCGTCTAGGTGACCACCCCGAAAGATAACAAAGAGATAAGGAAAAAAAAAGTTACCTATCAGTTTGGAACAACCTACATGATTTGCAAGAAGCAAAACCAGTCAGAGCTTGTGGAATGCAAGTTTTAACAAGGGTTAGGAAGTTTTTCCAAAATGGGCACAGGATACTTGCTCCAATCTTGGACTGAAGTCTATGCTCATTTCAGGCAGTTGGCAAATAAAGGCCCCGATGCAGTTAGTGGTGGTTGGACACCACACGTGAGCCATTGCTCATTTAAAGTTCAGTTGTATCCTTTTCCACAAGGAGAAACAAGTCACAGACAGCTACAGCTCAGAAAAAGGCCCTTTGGCCCATCAAGTGTGTGCCAGTCATAAACAAGCATCTAACTATCCTAATCCCATTTTCCACCACTTGGTTCATAGCCTCACATGCCTTGGTATCACAAGTGTACATCTAAATATTTCTTAAATGTTATGAGGGTTTCTGCCTCCACCATTGTTATGTTTTCTTCACATCCCTTCAACTTAAATCTATAGCCCCTGATCACTGATCTCTCCACCAAAGGGAAAGTCTCTTCCTGTCTACCCTATGTATGCCCCTCAATTTTATACATCTCAATTATATTCCTCCCTCAATCTTCTCTGCTCCAAGGAAAACAATCCCAGACTCTCCAGTCTCTCTTCATAACTGAAACTCTCCAGCACAGGCAACATCCTATGTTCATTTTGGAACAGAACGAAAAGAGCTTTGATCTAAACTGGCGGGGATTCGGCCAACCACAGAATCTGAACCTGAATTCACAAAGCAGCCTATTCTCAAATATTCTTAATTTTAATCAGTACAAAACCCATTGGCAAAAAGATTTTAAGAAGAGATTTTTGAAATATATACATATTAAATACTGAAGAGATTCAGTATGTCGATTGGCAATTCCAAAAAGAAAACATGGCTTAATTTTGCAGACATTAATCCTACTTTCATGACAGGATGTTTCTTTGTTAACTTTTTTTCTTCTGGTGAAGAGTTTTCTTTTTTCAGTATTTTTGCTTTCAATGTTAGTTTACTGTGAATGTTCTTTATTAAGGTAGCCTTCCCTGCACCTGCCTTGGCAGAGCTCTGTAGCCTACCCTATATTTTTGAACAGTTTACACTTTGTTTCTTCTGAATGTCAGACATTGGAATTCTGTCCATATGAAGACAGGGCCCAACGTACAACAACCGAAACATCTTATGTTTGTACAGTATCTTGTAAAGATGCTTCACAGGAACAACATAAAACAAAGTATGACACTGAGACACAGAAAAATATTAGGTCTGCTGATCAAAAGTTTTTTCCACAGAAGATAAGTTTGAAGGCAGATCTTAAAAGGAGGGAAGTGAGATAGAGAGGCGGACAGTATCATGACAAAATTTCAGACTCATGGCCTTGATAGCTGAGGCGTAGCCAACAATGGTGGAGGGATTAAAATCAGAGCACGTCAAAAGGCCAGAATTATATGTGTGCACTTAAATTTTTGTGGGGTTTGAGGACACATGTGTAATATAAATTTCAGGTGCAGATGAGGTTGACTGCCACATATACACATTTTGGCAGAGTCATTGGATAATATCAGGAGTAAGGACTCTGGCTGATATGTCTTCCTGAAATAGTTCATTCGTGTAGGGCTATTTGTTATTTCTCCACTGGCCCCAGGTAAATATGGCTGGCAGAAGGAAATTTTTTTGCCTCATTTCATTTCCTGATGCACAAATAATTGCAACATAATGACAAAGGGGATAATGCAGCTTTTATTAACAATGCAATTTGGTATGGGAGATGATGCCATCTCATTCCCAAAAGGAGAATGGGAGAAGCCACACCATAGTGTTGTCTCGTTGTAAACACTGCCAGTTCTAGCCTGCCACCAAATTGTAAGAAGGCAACTGCAGCTGGTGGGATATATTTTCTGACAGAAGCTGTCCCCACATGAACACCTCACTGCTTGTAATAACGGAGTAGTTTCCAGCAGTGACCTTATAGTGGGGAATCAACAGGGAGCCTATCCAAAAGTGTTGTGCAGAATAGATCTCAATTGAAGCCCACATTGCCAGTGGGTGAATCTTATCGCTGACAAAGCCAAAATGTATACTTATTAAAAACCCATTTAGAGATCACTATGTACCACTGTGCCATCCCTGGGGTAAAATAATCAGTCTATAGACAGGCTGAGTCTGGAATCAAACAGATTTAGATACTATTGATTCTAAAATGCAGTTGTTTCTTGTGCTGCCACTAAAACACAGAAAATGAAAATGGACATTTCTAGAGGATAGTCTCCTTTTAACTCCAACCTGATACATTAAACAATTTTATCTGGAATACAGTTTAGTCAACACATGTAGCCCACCTTCACTCATCTACGTCCATTAGAACTCTGAACATTTCTGTCTCTGTTCCTGAAATCTTTCAGAAATAATTTTAAAACAAACTGTCCAAGTAGCAGAACACATGGGATTGAAATGTCACTTTTTTACACCTTGTCCAACTTTACAATCCATTTACTTTAAGGCAAGCAGCTGAGGGGGCAAAGGAGGACAACAAGAGAGAGAGGGAGAAATGGAACGGAAGAAAGGAGAATGAGAAGGATGAAGAGGAAAAGGAGTGAATTACTTAGAATTTACATTGCGGAAACAAGCCATTTGACCTCTTCTAATCAACTGTTCTGCCTTGGTGGTTATGCCCCATATAAGCCTGTTCCTGACTTACCTCACCTAAACCCATTTGTAAATCCTTCTACAAGTCCCTTGGAAGAGGGAGCTATGAAGAGGGGAGATTGGAAACTAAGCACGCAGAAGGAAGAGAGAAGAGGTGAAAGAGCCAGAGGGAACATTGGAAAAAAGCATGAGAAAGATTAGAAAAAGATGGAATCAAATGAAATAGAGAAAACCAAAAGAGAAGGGAAGTCAAGGCAATTAGCAGACAAAAGTACAGAATTTTCATTCCACCAGTAAGTGTTATTTGCTTTCATTTCTTCATTTCTTCCTCTGGCTGAACATTTTCTCTTTCCGAGAGTAGTTTTTAGACTTTATCCTTTATGTCAAATCTCGACCATTGTTAATCTAGAGACAGGTTTTGCACCAAAGATACTTTATTAGTTCCCCTTATGGACTTAATGTGGGAAATCACAGGCATCAACTTGTATCTCAACAGTCTGAGGTGCAGCATGAATGAGTATCCTCCTACAGCCTTTGATCGAGGCACTGTTTAGGAGGATGGATGTAAAGAAGATATTAGTAACATGGTTGAACCATGTGAAATTTTAAGTTGAAGATTTTCTTCAATTGACGAGATTTATATTTGCATTGTCTGACTCACCATTATAACACTGACGCCAGCAGTACTGTTGCTCTGCTTTGCTACTGGGTTAAAGTGCTTTCTCAATTTTCCAGTTACTGCTACCTGCATGTCTCGCTCTTGTGCTGTATCATCCTGCAGGAAGGAAGCAGGAAACAGATAAAATCTCCCAGAACTTCTATTAATACAACTAGTGGACAGCGCAGCAGTATTCTTTTTGTTTGAGCAAAACATTGCACTCATATTCTGCTTCTAAATAGCAGCATTGTCCTCAGTGAGGATAATACAACTTTGCAGCATGCTGAACAAGCACCGTACTATTCGCAGATCTGTATAATTATGATCTTAATCCCACAGTATTACAATGGACACTAGAAAATAAAAGCAAAGAATAATTTTGACGTTGGACAGTACAGTTACAGTTCCAAGAGAGCCCTGGTGCAGCCCAGTCTGTGCACCTACTTTCCCCAAACAATAACACATCTCTTTGAACCACTACTTCTTCCCTACTCCCCAACTTGTTTCCTACCTAGCCGCTGATGATCCGATCCAATCCCATCCCCTGCATACAAGCAGTAAAGTAACTCTTGCTTCTGATAGCCACTTTTTAAAATCACAGCCTAACTTTCATTTTGCTATATTAACATGTATTGACAATTATGGCATTTTAAGTTTCAACATTTAGATATTTTGGACAAATTAACCCATTGATCTTTTGCACAGTTACAATTTGTGCTTTTTTAAAATAATAATGGTGATGTCAGTTTTCAAAGTCAAAAAATACAAGCAATCTATCAGAGTTTACAATTCAAGGCCATGTCTATTGGCACCAAATTTTTGCTAAAGACTTTGCCTTGCAGAGACCTGGCTTAACTATTCAGACTATTTTTATCTCCTGAGACAAAGTATTGACAATATGCATGTTACACCCAAAAGGAGTACATGCACTTCAGTCTTATGTAGAAGTACCCAGTCTAGGCATAAAAAAAAGAAAATATAATTGTTATAAATTGCTTCTTAAAGCACACAAAGGGAAAGTTTGTGTGAAGTTTGAGGGAGATAAACTTTAAAAAAAAAATAAAAAAAATGTTTATCAAAATATCTTTTGGAAAGGAATAAATTGAACAGCACCAAACTTGTCAGCCCAACAACATTGCTATTTGAATTTGGGACAGCTTTCAAATAAAAAAAGTAAAATACTATCTAAAGTATAAAAATATAAGACAGGCATCTAACTTGTATGATTTCTGTTAAAGTCTTGTATTTGACAGTAAAATTCCTTTACAGCTCATGAATGAAATAGAACATAATTAATGGTTGGCCCATTTCAACTTCATGATAGAGATAGGAGAGGGAATTGGAACAATTGACTTGGGTAATTTAATTAAATCAATCTGTGATTAGTGTGTATCCTAGAGAAGAGAATAAATAAAAATGGTAACAATATTTTTCCGTTGAACATGTGTATACCTTTCCCCATGGACATTTCTTTTAAAAAATCTACACTTGATATCCTGAAACCTGAAAATTTTGGACCATGCATAGGATAAGCATTGCTCTTTGGACAGACACACCTTATGAAATTTTAGAAGATCTCTTAAAATTCAAGAATATGTGGCATGATATTGTGATACTGGTATGATTGTGAAAATGCGATTTGTTACACATGAAGTAACTAACATTTTAAAATTATCAACTCCATGGAGAAATGAGTTAAAGACAATCAGGATAGTAAATGGTCAAAGGGAGTAAAATTAAATTGGATTTGATTGGGACAATTGAAAGTTAGTGAGAAATAACACTCGATAAGATTTATACACAAGATGGATACAGATGATGGGAAAACAGGAGAATCTTTTAAGTCCATGCATAATTTATTACTTTATAATAACTAGAATTTAATAAGAGTCCTGCAAAAAAATACGGAATAATATTGAGTGAACTGATCTATAGATGGAGAGAGTTAATCCAAATCAATAGCAATCTAATAATTTCTGGTTTTTATATGTTACCCACTTACTAGGTATGTAATCATAAAATTGGGGAATGAGCTACATAAAGAAAGAATCATCTGTGGAAAATCAGAAAGCATATTTATTTCTCAAGCAAGGGAGAGCTGTAAGAAATTAGTGTCTAGCAACCTTATAAAACCTTAAATATTTTAGTCATCTTATTAAGAGAGTTTTAAAAAAGTTAGCTTGCTGTCTGAAAGAAAACACTGGGTAAGCCTACTGTCTCTGCCAATGGCACATCTCTAGTAAAGAAATTCCTGATGATGGTGATTACATAACCCAAATGCAAGACCATTATCTGAGTAAAAAGTTAAAGACTTAAGAGGGAAAAAGGATCACTTTGGGCAGGAAAGACTATATTTAAAATGATCAATACTGGCTTCAGTCCTTGTTGGTAGTGGCAGCTCCGGGAAGAACTTCCTAACCACTGTCCCTGCTGACCACCTCTGACCCTGTCAGCTTGAAGGATAGAGAACAAAAAACAAGGCTGCAAACAGAGCATACAAGAAATTGCCACCAAAACTGCTCTCAGCTGTCACTGGCTGTATACTTTTCCTGACTATTCATCTTATAATCTCCTTAATAAATGACTAAAATTATAAACTTGACCCTCTTTATTGGGTATTTATTGACTCCTACACCTTAGAACTTGCATCAGCAGTGCTGTAAATCCCACTTCCCGTTCCTATTCTAGCCGACTTGTGAACATAGATCAAAGTCAGCATTGTCTCTCGTGATTTCTTTGAAGTGGTGGCTCAAGAAGCAGTCCTGTTTATAACTAACAAATGTGACTCTATACCAGCTGTGCTTTCCCAGTTTGTGTGAGGTTTATAGAATCACATATTAAACTTGCTTTTCTGTCCTCACATACTCTGATCTTCTTATAGAGAATACTATCCTACTTCTTATATGTAGAATACTCAGTATCAGCCGCAGTTTGTCACATTACAGTCATTTAATTAAAGCAGACCATTTCGTAGCTCTCTATTTCTTATTACTTCCAACACTTAGGGTCCTGTCATTGAAACAACTTTCCCTAATACCAACAAGGAATTTCAGATGGTGCTAGGGTGTTGCTAAATTCTGTTTCATTTTCTGTAGAATTGATTTTTCTAACCTCTATATACCCTGAATATTATATCTATTACCATCCTCTTGATCAAGCCATGTTTCTAATACTCCCTCCTTCCACAAGAGAAACTTCAACATTTTATTTAAAATAAATGAGCTATAATTTGATCGAGTTCAACAACTCAATGGTGCACTTGCAGTAACCATTCCCATGGCCCCCATTTCTAATTCAATGTAGCCTATTCATACACTTATCTTTCTTTCTCTCCATATAATTATGATACTCACAGCCACCCATGGATGAGTAAGAACCTTCTCAGCTGTGTACCGAGCTTCAATGTTCACCTGCAACATTCGGCTAATCAGTTCCTGCAAAGAAATTACACACTGAAGCCAGAGATTAAGTGTCAGGAAAACAGATTCAAAGGGCAGAATTATCCCTTCCCTGAAAGAGGCGAGGATAGTGACAAGAAGAGAAAAAAAAAGACAGTTTTCCTTGAGATATTCACTTCCTTCTCACCATCCCATCAAGTTCTGACCAAGAAGGTTCACTGGGACCAACTGACAGCCATAAGTGGTCAATTAATAGCCATTTATGGGCCTCAACTCTTCACCTGCCCAATAACATCTCTTCTCGCCAGGAGAGAGAGGTGGCTAGTTACCTGACTGGGAAACCAGAACGATTAGCTTGCTGTTTTTTGGGTTTGCCCTGCAACTATCCCTGGGCATAAATCGGAGAAACAGGTGAGTGGAAAGGGTGGTCTCTGAAAGCCACCTGCCTGCCCTTGTCTCTGACTTGTGACCCCCAACCCTGTGACAAGAAAATAAGAAACACTTCCCTTGTCACTGGTGGAATGTGAAGAGTGGGCCTTGACTGGCGGTCTTTTGACCTTTGATTGGCTGGCAGCTTCTGGCAACCTGGGACCCCAGAGTTGAGGCCTGCAACAGGCTAAGAAACATGCCCTAGTTCACCTATCAGCTGTTTGCAAGCTAATTGGCACATGACAAACTGGGAAATCTCAGCAGTGGGGATGGATGTGTTAGTGACACAGAAAAACCAGATTTGGGAAATGGATTACACCAAATTTATGCCCAAAAAAAACCACTTGCAGTTACTGAATCATTTTGCCAGAGTACTGATTGATGAAAAAATAATCAGAAGAGGTCACTGCTTCTCCTTCTTATTCACATTCTGAAGGAGATGTGGCTATCTTGCATTTTGTACTTCTATCACACAGTGATAAGAACACACATGCACACATATAAACCTTACAAACAAATGTTGACCAACTATTTTATAATATCCTAAAACTTCAAAAGCAGTTCTGGCTGAAACCATGTGATGTGCAGCAAAACTGAAATTGCAGCTCACATAACAAGTACACCACAGCCTCCAAATCATTTTTCAAGTCTTTGCTGTTCTCCAAACAGAAACGACACTCAGCCTCCTTACAGCATGCCACGAATGTCAACCTCCAATCTGTGACTGTTGCCCACCATCCACACTTCAAAATCCCCCATTCACACCAATAATCAATTAACAAAACTATTCAATCCATTAACAGAACTGATCCTCCCCATTAACAATGTCAATCTCCCCCATTAATATGGCCAAACTTCCTATCGACACTGAATCTCAACACCCCCCATCCCCATCTCCCAAAAACATGGCCAACCACTGTCACCTTTAAGTTGCGTCATTGCATGTATGCACCGCCATTCCAACATTCTATGCCCAGCGACTGGTTTCAGCAGGCCAATAGTGACATGGACGTTCTGGATCCGGAAGTCACTGCCACACAGACTACAGAGGCCTGCACAGCTGATTAGAAGATTAGAGGGAATGCTGTTGCCAACACCCACAAACAGCACTGCTAATTCTACAGAAACAGCACAAGTGAGAAAGAAAAAAAAACACCAGCTGCCCATTCTAGTCTCACTTCCCAGTGTTTGGTTATTGCAGGTTACAGCAATTCAGCTGTGTGTCCAGGTTCCTTTTAAATGAGTTCAGGGTTTCTGCCTCAATCATTAAACTGGGCAGTGAATTTCAAACACCCACCAGAAGACTACAAGAAATAGGAACAGGAGGTGGTCATTTGGCACCTCCAGCCTGCTCTGCCATTCAGTTGGATCATGACTGATCCAACATTCCTCATGTCTACTTTCCTGCATTTTCTCCATAACCCTTGATTCCCTACTGATCAAGAAGGACTCTGCCCCACAGCTCTGTGATTCACAGCCCTCAGAAAAAAGTTCCTCATCTCAGCCTTAATTCCTTTATTCTGATACTACGTACTCTGGTCCTAGGCTTTCCAATGGTAGATAACATCCTCCTAGTATTTACTTTCTCAAGCCCCTTAAGAGTCCTGTATACTACAAAGAAATCAAATCTCATTTTTCTGAGCTCTAATGCATACAGTCCCAACCTGTTTAGCTTTCATTCCCAAGACAATCCTCCATACCAGGGATCATCCTAGCAAACTTTCTCTGAACTGCCTTATCTTTCCTTAAATTAAGGGACCAAAACTTCTCACAATACTCCAGATGCAGTTTCACCAGCACCTTGTACAATAGCAGAAGTCACACAACACCAGGTTATAATCCAGCAGGTTTGCTTGAAATCACAAGCTTTTGGAGCATAGCTCGTTAATCGAGGGGAGGGGAGGGGAGGGGAGGGGACGGGGACGGGGACGGGGACGGGCACAGAATATATAGGCAGAGAGATAATAGCAAGATAAGTCCAGGTAACTAAGACTGTCAACAGGTAAGTACAAATAGTGTGAGTAGAGTGTCGACAGGCTTAACATCAAGTCTTTGCAGGTGATCAAAAATGTCAAATGATGTGAGTAAAGTATCAACAGCTGAATAACAAGTGAAGGGATGACCTATGAACTGATTAATTAAGACAGAGAGACAATTACAAAATATCAAAAATAGGATCGTGCTAGAGACAAACCAAACAGCTGGAATAACACGATAAGTATCAGAGTCACATGGCAAAGGTTTAACCAAAATAACAAGTAAGCCAAAACTGTAGAAACTAATTTAGGTAGAGGGGTAATAACAAGTTATCAAGGTGATGGTGTCAAAACAGAACAGTAAGGAAGATTTTACAAGCACAAAACACTATGGTGGGGTTACATATAGTTTCATTTTTGATTAAACTTTAAAGAAATCAAAATAATTTTTGTTAACCTGATAAACTTAAAATGAAAAGTGAAGTACCAGAAGACTCAAGTTATTTTGTTATTCTCTCTCTTAAGCTCGATCCCCACCTATCGTTTACTCCTTAACCCCCTCCCCCCACCCTATCTTCCGCATATAAACTGGTATTTTCCTTGCCACCATCAGTTCTGAGGAAGGGTCACTGGACCTGAAACATTAACTTTGATTTCTCTTCACAGGTTCTGCCAGACCTGCTGAGCTCTTCCAGCAACATCTGTTTTTCTTTTTGATTTACACCATCTGCATTTCTTTCAGTCTTTATTTGTTTTGTTGTGATCTTCTTGCTTTGCTCTTTGTTGTACGTGTGCAATCTTTGCTGGGAGTCAAATGGGTGCCTGAAGGAAATATTATTCACTTACAGAAGCTTTTATTCCTTCATCATTGATAAAGGGCTTTTTCACTCGGTAGCAGAAACCTTCAACTCTATTGAATAATATTAGAAAATATTTTGTTTCTTAGCTTTAGTAAGTAATGTATATTGTGTTCTATTTTCGAAACAATATTTGAAAACTCTGCCAGCTTTTTAAAAACAAATTAAGATACATTTTATATTGTTTTTGAGTTGATTAAAAACCACTGACTTTTCCACTGGCTTGAAGTTCAAAAGCAAAAAACATAAACCAAATAAAACCTGTTGTGTTTTAGAATATTCCTTAATGTTCTGTGTTGACACCATCACCTTGATAAATTATCTCTCTACCTTAATTAGTTTGTTCAGTTTTGGATTACTTGTGATTGGTTAGATCCTTGTCACACTACTCTGATACCTATCATGTTTTTCCAGCCATATGGTTTGTCTCCAACACCATCTTATTTTTGATTTTTTTGTAATTATTTCTGCCTTAATCAGTTCGTATGTCATCCATTCACTTGTTATACAGCTGCTGAAACTTTACTCACATTGTTTGACACTTGACCATCTGTAAAGATTTGTTATTCAGCCTGTCGACACTCTACTCACACTATTTATACTTATCAACACCTACGCTCGGTTCGCAATAAACAACTGCACCTCCCACTCGCGAACAATTTCAACTCCCCCTCCCATTCCTCAGACGACATGTCCATCCTGGGCCTCCTGCAGTGCCACAACGATGCCACCCGAAGGTTGCAGGAACAGCAACTCATATTCCGCTTGGGAACCCTTCAGCCCAATGGTATCAATGTGGATTTCACAAGCTTCAAAATCTCCCCTCCCCCTACCGCATCCCAAAACCAGTCCAGCTCGTCCCGCCTCCCTAACCTGTTCTTCCTACCACCTAACCCCTCCTCCCACCTCAAGCCGCACCCCCATCTCCTACCTACTAACCTCATCCCGCCCCCTTGACCTGTCCGTCCTCCCTGGACTGACCTATCCCCTCCCTAACTCCCCACCTACACTCACCTTTACTGGCTCCATCCCCGCCTCTTCGACCTGTTTGTTTCCTCTCCTCTATCCATCTTCTATCCGCCTCCCCCTCTCTCCCTATTTATTTCAGAATCCCCTTCCCCTCTCCCATTTCTGATGAAGGGTCTAGGCCCGAAACGTCAGCCTTTCTGCTCCTATGATGCTGCTTAGCCTGCTGTGTTCATCCAGCTCTGCACCTTGTTGTCTCGGATTCTCCGGCATCTGCAGTTCCTACTATCTCTTATACTTAACTGTCGACACTCTTGATTATTTAGAATTATCTTACTATTATCTGTCAGCCTATATATTCTGTGCCCGTGCACTTCCCTCCACTTCACCTGACTAAGGAGCAGCGCTCCGAAAACTTGTGATTCCAACTTTTAAACCTGTATGGTGTGACTTCTGAATTTGTTCACCCTAGTCCAACACTGGCACCTCCACATCACTGTACAATTGCATTAAGACTTTCCTATTCTTATACTCTGAACCGCTTGAAATAAGGGCCAACATTCCATTGGTCTTCCTGATTACCTACTGCACCTTTGAGCTAGCGTTCTGTGTTTCATGCACAAGTAATGCTAAATGCCTTTGTTTTGCAGCTTTCTACATTTTTCTCCATTTAAATAATATTCTGTACTTTTGTTCTCCCTTCCGAAATGATCAACCTCATATATTCCTACATTAGTCCATTAGCCAACTTTCTGCCCACTTACTCCACCTATCAATATCATTCTACAAACTATCTGTAATCCTGTCACAACTTGCCTTTCCATCTATTTAGTGTCATCTGCAAATTTTGCTATAGTACATTCACTTCCTTAATATATATTGTAAACAGTTGTGGTTCCAGCACTGATCCCTGTGGAACCCCACAGATTACAGGTTGAGAAAGAGTCCCTTATCTACACTTGCTGATTCTTGCCAATTAGCCAATTCTCTATCCAAGTCTAAATTTTCCCTTCAACATCGTGGGCTCTTATCTTATGACAACTTTTTGTGAGGTACCTTGTCCAATGCCTTCCGGAAGTCCAAATACAATATATTTACTGGTTTCCCTCTGTCCATTCTGGTTGAGACTTCCTCAAAAAACTCTAACAAATTAGTTAGATATTATGCCCCTTTCACGAGGCCATGGTGACTCTGCTTGATTAGATTATGATTTTCCAAATGTTCTGCTATTACATCTTAGTAATTGATCCAACATTTTTGCAACAGCAGACATTAGGCTAATTGACCTATAGTTACTCACTTTTTCGTCCCTCCCTTTTTGAATAATGGTGTCGCATTGGCAGTTCTCCAATCCTCTGGTACTTTGCCAGAATCCAAGGATTTTTGGAAAATTAGAACTAGCACATTCAATATACATCATTCTGGAGTTGATAGCTATCTTCGTCACTGTCAACCACCCAGACAATTTTTACATCATCTGCAAACATCCCAATCTTGCTTTAAGTCCAAATTATTAATGTATACCACAAATAGCAAGGGACCTAACACTGAGATCTGTGGAACCTCACCGGAAATTGCCTTCCATTGAAAACATCCATCAACCATTAACCTTTGTTTCTTGTCATGAAGCCAATCACAGATTCACTACAAAATTAAGAGGATATGGCAGCACTACAGGGCAGCTCTTTGGATAATGATACCCAGAGTGTACAATCATAGAAAAGTCACCTTCTCAAGGGCAACTAGGGATGGGCAAGAACTGCTGGCCAGCCAGCAATGCCCAAGTCCCAGGAGTGAATAAGAAAATAAATAGGGTCAAAAGGGGAAAATATGGCAAAAAAGACAAAATTAATGGCTCTTGAATGTGCATAGTATTTGTAACAAAATACATGAATTAACAGGATAAATGGAGGTTAACTTACGATCTTATAGCCATTACATGGTTATAAGGAGATCAAAACTGGGAATTAAATATTCAGTGGCATGTGACTCAAAAGGACAGACAGGAAGGAACGGTTGGTGGGATAGCATTTTGGTATGGGATTAAATAAGTACAAGAAACGATCTTGGCTCAGAACACACAGAATCTATATGGGTGGAGGTAAGAAATAAGGAAACTAAGTTTGAATAAGAGTTATTACAAAGGAATGAGGTGGAGCTGGCTGTGGTGTACTGGGAAAGGAATTTAGCAGCAAAGATGGTTGAGGACCAGTGGCAGGCATTTAAGAAAACAGTCATGGCTCACAGCGACAATATATTCCAGTGAGGAAGAGAATTCTATGTAGGAGATAAGCCAAACCACAGTTAACCAGGAAAATTAAGGATAGCATCAAAATGAATGAAAAAACATATAATGTATAAAGAGGATTGGAGAAGTTTTAAAACACCAACAGAAGGTGACCAAAAAATAATAAGGAGGGAGGAAGTAAACTCAGAGTAAACTTGTGAATAATATCAAGACGGACAGCAAGAGCTTCTTTAAATATATAAAAATGAGGAGAAAAACCAAAGTGAACACAGGCTTTTTAGAGAATGAAGCTGGGGAAATAATAATGGGGAATGAGGAAATGGCAGAGGAGTTGTATAAATACTTTGCATCAGTTCTCACTGTAGAAGACACCATAGCATTCCAAAATTATTAAATAATTAAGGGCAAAAGGAGGAGATGAAATAATTACAATATCTATCACTAGAGAATAAGTGCTAGGAAAAATAGGGGCTAAATCTGAAATCCCCCATGGACATGGTGGGAGGTGTCCTAGGACATCATCGGAAATAACAATGGAGATAATTGAGATGCTGATAGTAATCTTACAGGTATCTCGTTCATTAAGTATATTAAAGGCTGAGATAGATTTTTAATCAGTAAGAATTATGGGTAAAATGCAGGGAAGGGAAATTGAGGATTAGTAGATCAGTCATGATCACATTGAATGACAGAGCAGATTTGATGGGTTGGATGGCCTACATCTGCATCTAAGCATTATGGCCAACTCACCACATTCCTCTGTGTCGCTTGGATTTTAATTTTTCTGCCCAAGCTGCCAATATGGGACCTTGTCAAATGCTTTACTAAGATCCAGGTGGACAACATCCACTGCACTACTCTCATTAATCCTTCTTGTTACTGCCTCAAAAGATTCAATCAAGTTAATGAGACACAACCTTCCCCTAAAAGAACCATGCTGACTTTCCCTGATTAGTGTTTCAAAATAAAGGGGTGCCAATTTAAAACTGAGACAAGGAAGAATTGCTTCTCTCAGAAGGTTGGGAGTCTTTGGAATTTCTTGTCACAAAGAGCTGTGGGGGCAGAGTTCTTGTGTATATTTAAGGCTGATATAGATTGATTCTTTATCAGTAGTAGGAAAAGGCAGGAAAATGGGCATTAGGAACATTTTCTGAAGAAGGGTCTAGGCCCGAAACGTCAGCCTTCCTGCTCCTCTGATGCTGCTTGGCCTGCTGTGTTCATCCAGCTCTATACCTTGTTATCTCAGATTCTCCAGCATCTGTAGTTCCTACTATCTCATTAGGAATATCAGATCAGCCATGATTCTACTGAATGGCAGCTCAGACTTCAAGGGCTGAAAGGCCTACTCCTGTTCCTATTTCTTATGGCTTTATAATCTAATCTATGCTTTTCTGAATCACACCTTATTCTGTCTCTCAGAACTGATTCTAATAATTTGTCCACCATCAAAATAAAACTGACTGGTCAATAATTATTTGTCTTAGCTTTTTCACCCTTTTTAAATGATGGTACAGTACGTTAGACATCCAGTCCTCTCGTACCTGACTTGTAATTACCCCCATTAACACTGCTAACCACCCCAATTAACATTCCCAAACCCTCTATTAACATTGCTATTCTCCATTCCCACCATAAACACACCCCATCTTACCCCGCCATCTTGCCAATCCTCCATTAACATGCCAATAAACCTTCACCCCCATTAACACACCTAATCCCACATTGACTAAACCCTTTTTCAACTGTGTCCAATCTCCTTTCTTTCTGCTCACACTTTAAGCTTGCTCAACTTCCACCCTCATTTAACTCAGCAATCTCATTCCTTTCCCCTCTGATCACATACATTTTCTTTTTCCCTTTCGGTTACCCCACCCATTTTCCCTTTCTCTCACTTATCATTCTGAACTCTTACTGCTATTCTGGATATTGGAGTCTGATGCATCTCCTGGATGTCTGAAATGTATTATGTCACAAAGCTTTCACCAGAATTTCCATTCACAATGTGTAGCAGAACTCCAACATAACAGCAGCTATAGAATCATAAAAAGATTACAGCACAGAAACAGTTCATTTGGTACGAAGCATCCCTGCTAGCTCTCTTCAGGAGTAACACACTCAAATCCACTGTCTTGTTCTTTCCCCATAGCTTTGCAATGTCTTTCTCCTCAAGTTTTTGTTCAATTCTCTCTTGAAAATGACAATTGAATCCTCCTCCAACACAAACTCATACTGTTCTTCCCTGATCACAACCTCTCGCTGCAAAAAATAGATTTCCCTCATGTCATCTTTAGTTCTTTGCCATTCACCCTATATTGATATAGTCTGCTTCTCAACTGCTAAAATAGTGTAAATCTTCAATGGTATTGTATAAAACTTGCCCTAATAAATACTGCACTAATGGAAATAAATGTGGGAAAGCTTTGAGAAGCTAAAGGAAAATAGGACTGAAGTAATTAAGTCAGATTTTTGTTTCATGTAAACATGGCTGCAAAGAGGTAACTTTGTAATAACTTTGACCTGATGAATCTTCATTAAAATGTGTTTGTTCTGCATTTTTTTTGCAGGATAGTAAGAGAAGTCAGAACATTGCTTCATTTTTAGCACAGTACTAAGTAGTGCAGGTGACACAATGGTACTGCTTGTTCTGATGGAATTATGGTTTCAACAGGCATGAGCAACCCAGAGGGAAAGAAGTACAGTAAAAAGTCAGTAATACTTGGACATGAACATTCTGCTTATACTGTAGTTCCATCTGAGGCATTCAAGGTGAAGAGGACCAGTATATTTCATTCTCAAGTTTTATCACTGTTTTTCCTTCCGTGAAATGTTTGCCAAACAGTTGTTTATGAAAGTAATCCCCCTTTAAAATTCTGCCATAACTCTATTGTTCCCAGCTCAAAGTAACTCAGAACCCTGTGCATACTTTAGCAGAGCCGGTGATACTATCCCAGTAAGGAGAGGGAAACTCCAGTCGTCCAACAAGAATCTGGTCAAACAAGTCTTCCTGGACATTGTTCTCACTGTAAAAACACAAAAATGCGGTTATTAGAGTAGAATTTGGAAACAACTTGGAATCAATCCAGTTAATTTACATGTTTCTGGATTCTTGAAACTCTCAGTAAATACAGAAAAATAATTTTAGCTGTAGGAATTGGCTTCTTGTGCTTCTGGATAGATAGATGCTTTAAAAGAGATGTGTCAAATAGACTGTCATCAGGGCTTTTAACCTGCAAACTAAACAGTTCTGTCAGCTATACAGAAATGCCAGTCTGTCTTCTGAATAGACTTTTCAGAGAAAACGGATGTAACATCTAAATCCTAATGTACACTGCGGTTTGGCCTGCATTCTGTGGCACAAACAATGGTGAATTTATTAGTGTACACCATTAATAAACAGTAAATTGGACAGAACCTGTTGGTGTCTGCATGTCTGCAGTTTAATGTGGGAATCAGAAAGATGTGCAATTTTTCCTGCTCCTCAAGTTGCACTATTCTGGTATTGCTTAGGAACCAGCTGCAGCATGATAATATTTCAGTTACAAATAATACTTCTAATATTGAAAATTAACTGTTAATTGTTCAGAGTTGCAGTTCTTCAGATTTTAATTACTATTGGAGACTTCAAAAATAAACCATCTTTTAATTTTATCTTTCTGTCATTATGCCCTTATTTAATCCCATTTCTCTCTCCTCTCCATTTTGTACACGATTTAACATTGAATTAAATATTCTAATTTACACTTGCTAGTTTAGACCTGAAATGCCTCAGGAAGAATTCTTTAATTTGAATAGTTGAAGACACACCCTGATGAATACCCCATCCATGCTGGTCCCTAACTCCTATAATGGGGAATTGATAGTCACAGGTCATAACGAAATGTAAGCATGTTGAATGGCAAGTTCTATTCAATTGTTACTGATTGAAAAACCTGAGCTAAAGCTTTGTCAATATTTAGTGTTGTGGTTGACAACAGAGGAACTATTCCATGCTGTACCAATACAGCATCAACTGGTGTACTTGAAAGACCATCTTAAGAGAAGGATAATTGCACTTGAGGCAGCTGAGAGCAAAGAACTGAACTTCTCATAAGCACTTAGAGATTTTACAGCTGATTTTACAAACTAGAAATGTGCCAGATTTGATCCCTCATCTCTGGTGAGAATGCTAACCTCTGTAAGTCCAGTGCTTAAGATCAGCACCCTCAGGTTAAGTAGGGGAAATATACCCAAGATCTTGCCTCCAGATCAACAGGCAGCCACAAACTTGGAAGTGCAGAAACAGATGATTAGTGTCCAATCCCTGGCACAAAGAAGGATGGTTGTGGTTGTTGGTGGTCAATCATCTCAGTCCCAGAACAGGACTGTAGGAAATCATTAGGCTAGGTCTGAAGCCCAACCATCTTCAGCTGTCTACCATTCATGTTCAGTACCATTTCTGACTCTGAAGCAGTCTGTCCCCACATGCAGTAATACGTGGACAATGTTCTGGCTTAGAAATAACATTTGTGCCACACATTGACCATCTCCAACAGAGCCTAACCATCTCCCCTCGACGACAATGGTCTTATCATCAGTGAATCTCCTACCATGAACATCCTGGAGGTTATCACAGACCTGCAGCTTTCTTGTTCCAGCTATATCAAGTCTGGAATTCTGTGGTGTTTGACTCATCTTCTGTTTTTGCAAAGCCTGACCAAAATCGTTGAAGTACAAATCAGGAGTGTGATGGAATACTCTCAGTGAGTGCAGCTCTAATAACACTCAAGAGTTTGAACATAATTCATGACAAAGCGCCTCCATTTTCGGCACTCCATTCATCAACAGGGCAGTAAATACAATGGGAATATCATGACCTGAGTTCCCCTATGAGCCACACACTACCCTGAGTTGAATTATAATGCTCATCCTTTACCATTGCCGAGTCAAATTCCTGCTACAATAATCTGGAACTCCCTTTCTAACAGCACTATGGATGCACGTACACCAGATGAATTGCAGAGGTTCAAGAAGGTTGCTTACCACCACCTTCTCCAGGGCACTCTAGGATGATCAACAAATGCTGGCCTTCTCAGTAATTCCCATGAAAGAATAAAAATATCCTTCAGCGTCTCTGTTCCATGAAATACTGCCATGTTAACTGTGATATTTAAACTTTGTAATTGTGATACTCAGCAGGAGCTGGTAACATGGAAGTACTGAATTTTCACAGCCTCCACCTGTGTTTTTGTTTCCAGAACCTGCATAAAGTTGGAACTTTAGCAGCTTTCAAAATAACAGTTTACCGCTGGTTAGTTAATATTCTGTCATCAAATGTAAGAGCAATGTTCCTTGCACGAGCTGCGCACTCTCAGCAAAAAGATGCTTATTTGTATGGGATAGGAAAGAATATAATTCTTTACTGTGAGAAGTCTGAAGCAGATTACCTGCGGAATGGAGGGAACCCACACAGGAGGATGTATGTAATGACTCCTGCTGCCCAAATGTCGACCTTTAAACCATATCTGTAAAAATAATTAAGAACACGAGGACTTTTAAATAACAGGAAAAAGCAAATAGTTCCAATGCAACCATTCCTTGTCTATAGATTGAGCTTCGGATATCTTTCTTCCATCTATTCCGTTTTATCCCTTCTCTCCACAGAAAGCCTATTGTACTGGCTGCATTACTGAACTTGCTTGGCAAATAATTTTATAATTTTATATCTTTTGAGGGTTGTGATATGGCAATGGGAAAAGGAGATTGGGACTTGCTGTCAACTAAGATTCAGGCAACAGAATTTTGGATGAGATCAAGTTTCAGGAGGATAGATTAAAGGAGATCAGCCGGAAGTGTGTTGGAGTGGCCAAATCTGAAAGTAGCAAAATGGTGAGCTGAGAGAAAGCAGTTGGGCAATGTTACACGAAGTGGTCTAAGTGATAATACTAATGACATTAGAAGCTCATCCACGGATCAAATGTGACACGGAGATTGTGAACAGATTGGGTTAATCTAAGACTTTTGCCAGTAAATGCCCTAAGATTTTTATGAAATTGTTGCATTTGCATATTATTCTCAGCATAAAAAGGTAAACCTAGTAAATATCAGCATTAAGATAATAACTACCAACTAACCTTTATTATCTAGAAAGTGAAGAAGTATAAGAGTAGATTATCATTCCTCCAGGCTGTGAATTGTTTTGGGAAATTTATAAATGTAACTTTGAAAAGAAAAATCCTTTCTACTTCAGTTTTTCATTTGCTCTTCCCCTCTCCATTATTTCTCTTGCAGTACATGAATTGACCCTGCATTGACTCATTCCAATTTACTCTCTGGCTCAGTTCTTCTATGTATTTCTAATCCTTTTAATCACATTGATTAAGGAGGTACACCATTATTCACCAAGGTCCCTGCTTCATGAATCATTATTAACTCACACTTATGACAAAACAAAGGCAAAAAAATTCAAAGCTTAAATGTGCACAAAAAAGTCTAACCAGTAGAACATGCTGTGAGATACCCCATTTCAGCAAAACATGCCCGATATTCAAGGGCTTCTTCTGGTCATGGCTTACCCACTCTCTGCAATGATCTCTGGAGCGACATATGTTGGTGTGCCACACACTGTGTACAGGGGTCCATCCACCACAGTTGCCAGACCAAAGTCACCCAGTTTCAAGGACTTGGTGCCATCTACATATTCACACACCTATTGGAGAAAAGAGAAGTGCTGACTAACAAAGCATATAATTAGGCAAATTTGAAACTACTCAACATATTTGTTTTATTTGGCTATAACTACATCCAATTAATAATTTTCCCAAAATAATTTCAAACACAGTGATTCTTCAAGACTTTTGTCTTGACTTCAAGTCTTTTGGCTACATTAAAGTCCAATGTAGAGTTTAATATCACCTTAATTCTGATGCAGTTCTCGAATTCATTTGGTACCTAACGTGTCAAACACAGCTGCCATATTTTGTGCTAAATGATGACAGAAAGAACAGAAAAGGAAGTTGTTACATTTCAGTTTCCTCACAAAAAGCTTTCTTCCTGTTCAAGACAATATCAACTCCTACAGGCAAGCATTCTAGCTCCCTATGATACGAGTAACTCAATATATAACTTAGAAGAATATAATGCCTTTGGTTAAAAATAGATCTGTTTATAAATTGAATTTCAATTACACATTCTCCTCAATTTAAGTGACATCAGATATGTTCATATCAGCCTAAAGTATCAAACAGATTTTTTTCTGAAATAGAACGTTCTAAAATAGAGCAAAAAGAGCCAGTTAGTAGTCAAAATTGCCTACCTATCTCAAGAGTTAAGATCTTACCATCATGTTCACTGTGTTTGGTCAATAGTACAACTGACTAGAACATTAGAAATATTTAAACTGTATATTTCGTATATTTTATACTTTCCTGTCTTATACAGAAAAACCTGTCAAAGATCAATGAGAATGAATGTTTGACAAAGACAAGCTGTGAAGAGGACAGAAGAATTAACATTTTAGACACAGACCCTCTGTCCAGACCTGACAAAGGGTCCACAATCAAGATACTAATCAACTCCAGAGTCTCTCTTCCTTTGTCCAACAACATGAGATTTCCCCCATCTTATTCTATTTTTACACATCCAGTCTTGGAGATTCACTTCCCACTTATGCATCATTATCTCTGGCGATTAATTCTCCCTCTAATTATTCTTATCTGTATATGGAGCTCCAAGGCAATAAAGGGCCTGGAATCTGGAGAAGCAAGTGACCCATTTTATTCCTCTCTAACACCACTGCCTGCAAATTCTTCTCCAACTTGCAGCATCCCGAATTAGATGGAGACTCCAACTGCTTCTTTAATGTTGTTGGATTAAAATCCTGGAACTCCTTTTCTAACAACACTGTGGTGTTCCTACAGTTGTTGGATTGCAGCAGTTCAAGAAGACAACTCACCACCCACTTCTCAAGAGCAATTAAGGATGGACAACAAATGCTGGTATTGCCAAGGGCATCCATGTGCCATGAAAAATATTAGAAATCAGGAAGTAAGACTAAATCTCCACTGAATTATTTATAGCTAAATACAATTATTTGCAAAGGACTTTTATGAATTGAAATTCCATCATCCATGTCTTTATTAAATCCTCTTGATTCAATAAGAGGACTGCTGAACAAATGTTACGTATTTTTAGAAGCAAGCTTCATAAAATCTCCTGAAAAGCTGCTCCAAAATCAGCTTTGTTGGATTGAACACTGTGTCCAAATAGCTGAAAACCACGTTCCCTACCAGGTCCTGCATTCTCACCTCAAAAATGGCCAACTCATTTTAAAATTTGTTCAAGGGGTGTGGGCTTTGCTGGCTAGGCCAAAATCTATTGCTCATCGCTAATTACCCAGAAAGCAGGTAAGAGTCATGATAGCTATAGCTCTGGAGTCACATGTAGGGCAGTCCAGGTAAGGATGGTCAGACTTCTTCCCTAAAGGACATCTGTGAACCAGATGGGTTTTTATGGCAATTTTCAGTGATTACACGATTGCCGTTAGGCTTACTTTTCATATTGCTTTTCAAGGAAAGACAAAGACTCTCTGAAGCTCTCCTTGAAGTGTGGCAACTTTGACATTAATCACTGGGTGGAGTTAGCTGTCAATTGTTCAGAATGGTGATAATTTGTCCTTCAAGCTACATCATGCTTTGAGTCATAATGTTTTAATGATAAGGCATAGCAGAGGCAGAGAAGGAAAGAAAAGGAAACAAATTCTGCATTTCACTGTCTTATGGGATGTCCAGCCCCACAAGCCCAAAGACACACAGGTCTAGAATTAGCCTATTCAGTTACAGCAAGAACAATGACAGAAACTCATAACGCCGAGTAGCTGCTGTGGTAATATCCAAAAGACAGTCACCACTGGTAAGTCCGGTATCCAGATGTGCAACATTCGAATGGCTGCTTAAGATCAAGTTTCTCAGAAATTCCTTATTTTATATTTGTATATTTAGCGACCAAAGCTTTGCACTGAGTGCTTTTATTTAGAAAGGTGGCCCATCTGGTGATTATCATTGATTTCACATCGGGTCCTACAGGTATTTTAAACTTTGAGGGTATTGAGAAAAGATGAGAAGCAGATGCGGCCGTTTAACAAAAGATGCTGATAGGATTGTTCTCCTACACTACCTCAAAGTGAGCTATAATATTTGTAATCATAAAAGGATTAGTAATGTTGCTGACTAAGCAGGATAGTTATTTCATCTGATAGCTGTTCTTGCACTCACAACTCATCTGGCAAACTTAATGATGAATAAAATAAATTAAATTAAAATGAAGTTCACTTAATTGTTAACATTTTTTTAAACTTCACTGAAAGGCATTTGACAGTTTGTCTGGAGAAGTGTAATTGATTGCAGAAGACTCATCATTGGGTAACAGTTTGCTTGCTCTTAAAGAACCAGAAAGATCACAATGGTATGATACTGCCTGCACTGGACAATAGAGGTGGGCAGGCTGCTCAGGAATCCAAATAGCTCTTTGGTGTTGGTTTAATTTGTTTTTTTTGGAGACTCTCACTGAATATCCTGTATAACAACCAATAATACATGATCCTATTTTGGTACGTCAAAGGCTTGTCTATGTCTGCTGGTGGTATTGCCAATGAAAGGAAAACATAAAATTACACTATCTTCCTACCTCCACAGTCACTTTTGACAGCTTTTCTCAGCTCATCTTATTCTGAACAGCAAACTGCAGGTGTTATATAGATAAAACCTAGTAGCATCACTGAGCAGCAAATATTCCAATATAACTATATACTGATAAAAATGCTGACTTATGCCCCTCTTCTGAAACCAATAACAAAAACAAAATCAAGAATCTGGCCTCAATTCTGATAAGAATGAGAACCTCAACAGTTTGTCATGCGTTAGAAATAATGCAACATGGAGATCTGGCCATCTGGAGAAGATTGTTCTCCAAATTTTTTGACAACTTGAAGCAATTTTAGTAAAAAAAATGTAACAATGGCCTGAAGGGAAATGAAGTATAAAAAAATTAAAGGATCAGGAAAAAAAATTTCAATCCAGCTTGACAGTCAGGATGCAATCAGTTACCAATATTCTTTCATGATTTTCACATCAAATTCCTGTTGAATTCCCTTTAAAAATTACTGGTATTAACTCTCTTGACTTCCCCCAAACACAGACCATCTTTTGTATGAAGGAGTTTTACCTGATAGGTGAAACCATGTTCCCTTATTTGAACGTTACCCAGTTCTTCCTTGTTAACATTATTCACCAGACCTTGGTAGGCATGACAGCATTTGAAATGTCTGGATGAGTGCAGTTCCAATAACACTCAAGAAGCCTGACGCCATCCAGGACAAGGCAGTCCCCATGTTTGGCAGCATTGTTCACATTCTTTTCCTCCACAATCGATGCATAATAGTAACAGTGTATATAATCTACAAGATGAACTGCAGTAACTCACAAAGGGTCATTTGACAGGACCTTCTAAACCCGGGACCTCTACCACCTAGAAGGTCAAGGGCAGCAGACACAAGGTGCCACCACCACTGACAAGTCTCCTCCTAAGCAACACACCATCCTGACTTGGAACTATGTCCTCATTCCTTCTCTATCACTGGGTCAAAATCCTGGAACTCCTTTCCTAATAGGCCTGTTGCACACCTACATTTTTTGTGATTTATGCACAAGAACACACAAGTTTCTTTGTATCACTGCACTCTGTAAATTTGCTCCATTTAAATAATGTCTTTGATTCCTCAGGCCAAAATGGGTGACCTCATACTTACTTATACTGTACCCCATCTACCTAATATTTGCCCATTCATTTCACTCATCTATTCCCTTTGCAGACTTATTATGTCCTCCCAGTAACTTGATTCCACACCTACCTTTGTATCATCAGGAAATTTAACTAAAATAGACACTAGCTTGTCATCTCAGAAACTAACAGATTTTAAACGGCTGACGCCCCAGCCATGATTTCTGTAGTACTCCTCTAGCTACAAATGCCAACTTGAACATAACTCGTTTATCATGATGCACTGGGTCCCAATTTGGCCACAATAGGGAACATCCCTATTGCAGTACCTATTGCACCCCTATTGCAGTGCTGGAAAAGTTGGAATCCCAAGTCCAGTCCCTGAACTCGGCACTTATCATTTTCAAAGAAGCAGAATTGGGGCAGGCAGTATTTCATGCACTGTGTGCCAGTTAAATGGCTACTTGTCTGCACTCAAATAGGATTCTGCAATCTCCGGTGTCTGGAATCCAGAGTGTGGAGATTACACCAGGTACGATCAGGATTGTACACAGTGTAATTCTTTTGGGCTGGCCTTTGGAGGGCTGAGATACTCATGCAGATGTGGTCCCAGAACATCTTTGGAGTTGGGGGTTAGAGTCTGATTGGGGTGGAGGGTTATCAGGTGCCCTTTGGGGCTGTTAACTGTACAGAGGATTGTATGTGAAAGGTGCATAAACTCCTTGGGACTTTGAAACGTATCAAGTACTGTCCGACAAGTGTCAAGAATGTCAATCAGCATCAAGATTTGCCAGCAGGTGACAAAATGCCTTCTTCTACGAGTGCCTTCCCTGTAGCATGCACTCTACAATGTTGAATGTTAACTTTTTCACTTGTGTACATGGGTACTTGCGAATACTCAATGTGTTAAAATGGTAGGTGATGGCAGAAGAC